TTCATGTTTGTGTATTTCCATTTGTCTCGTATGATATTATTACACTGTTTCAGTGTTTGTTTTATTGCCCTTTGGTATTGTTGGGTCAGCTTTTTGTCAGTTTTTATAAATTGGTTATTGTGTATGAAGTTATTTATTTTCTGTTTATATTCTTCTTCTGTTAGTGTTACTAGTGTTTTTCCTTTATCTGCTTTCATTATAATAAGTTTATTCTCTTTGATTATATTTTTTATATTCATTATTTGTTTTCATTACCTTTTATCATTCTTATTTTTATTGTTTTTATTCCTTTCATTATTATTCTTGTGTATATCTTTTAGTTTCTTCGCAATTAGGTGTCTATAATAATTTTGTTCTGTTATTTCTAGGTTATTTATTGCTGTTTCAGCTTCTAGGGCTAATGTCTCAATCCATTTTTCGTTCTTGTGATGTAGATTATATTTAAGGCCTTCACTTAGTATTTGGGTTTCTTCGTGTGTAAATTGTATATTTCTTTGGTTCACTACTCTCATGTATTGTATGTTTTTACTCGTTGTATCTGTATTTTGTGTTTTCATCATGTTGTTTATTTTTTTTTGTTGTTTTAGATATGTTGTTTCCATATCTTTTTGTAATTTTTCTTCAATTGATTGTTCGATGTTATTCCATGTTCGTTGCCATGTGTTTGCATTGTATATGTGAATGTGATAGAGTTGTGTATTTAGTTGTTGTTTCTTTTTGTATAGAAATTTTATTTCATTTTTTATGCATATTGTTTGGGCTTGTATTTGTGTTTTCTTAGCTGCTTCGCTGTTTGATGTTATTTTCACATATGCGTATTTTGGAACTAGCTTTTCTTTTAGACAGATTTTGTTAAATGTTATGTTAGCGTTGCAATATAACAGTTTCTGTTTACAATTCATATACTTATAAATGCTTCTTGTGTGACAACTGTTTACAATATTATATTTAAGCATCCTGTTACACTCACACAATATATATGAGACAAACTCTGTCTTAAGTGCAACAATTTAATTGTAGTTCTTTCTTCTTCCCTTCCTCCACACTACATGTTTCGGCCCTAAATGGCCATCATCAGGTGTGTATTCTTACGTAGCTGCTACACTGCCCATAGTTTAAAATTTAAAATCACCAGTCTTTCTAATTGTATGTATGTATAAAATCTTTGTTAATCTACACGCATCAATTTGATTTCTAAAATTGGCACTTTTTTAAAACTTCAATTCAAATTAAAATGTCTATAAATTTACTGTTCTTTTTCTTTTTCCAAATTTTTAAAAATTAAAATTTTCTCGGGGTACACGCCCTATGTCTATAGTGCTGCAGCGGCCACTTCTTGTTTTATCGCTGTTCAGGTATTGTCTGTAATATACAAATATTCATATTACTATCTTATGTTATGTTATGTTATTCTTATATGTTTATACTGTTATTTGTACTTACTCTGTGTCGCTGCTTATCTTTAATACGCATGCTGTCTGGTGTATTGTGTGCTGTGTTTTATGTTGGTGAGTGTTGGAGGGGGAACAGGTAGTGGGGAGAGGGAATTGCGAAGAAACTAAAAGATATACACAAGAATAATAATGAAAGGAATAAAAACAATAAAAATAAGAATGATAAAAGGGAATGGAAACAAATAATGAATATAAAAAATAAAATCAAAGAGAATAAACTTATTATAACGAAAGCAGATAAAGGAAAAACACTAGTAATACTAACAGAAGAAGAATATAATCAGAAAATAAATAACTTCATACACAATAACCGATTTATAAAAATTGACAAAAACCCGACCCAACAATACCAAAGGGCAATAAAACAAACACTGAAACAGTGTAATAATATCATACGAGACAAATGGAAATACACAAACATGAACCCCACAGCCCCAAACCTACACGCCACAATAAAATTGCATAAACCTAACACACCCATTAGACCAATAATAAATTGGAAGAACGCCCCAGCTTACGAAATAGCAAGGAAATTAACAAAAGTATTACATGATTATCTAAAATTACCAAATACATACAATGTCCAAAACTCCTCCCACTTAATGACAGATTTACAAACCATTAAACTTAATGAGAATATGTGACTATGTTCCTTTGACATTGAAAACATGTATACAAATATACCAAAAACAAATACCATAAACATAATAAACACTATATTAGAGGAAAACAATGACATAGATAAAGAAAGCCACAAAGAAACAATACATATATTAAAAACAGTATTGGAACAAAATTATTTTCAAATTGACCAAGATTACTACAAACAAACAGATGGTCTAGCTATGGGAGCCCCAACATCAGCAATAATAGCAGAAACATATTTACAATATATGGAACACACACAAATATTTCCCAGTCTAGTAAAACAATAGTGGCTTACTTTAGATATGTTGATGACATATTAATAATATATGATGAAAAAATAACGAACATAGAACATACACTCAAAGAAATTAACGAATTGCAACCAACTATAAAGTTCAAAATTGAAAGAGAACAACAAGAATCTGTTAACTTTCTAGATATAACAATACATCGTAATGAAGATACCTTTCAATTCGAAATATAGAAAAACCACACAGACATCATAATACCTAACAGCTCGTGCCATCCATTCGAGCACAAATTGTCAGGTATTAATTACTTAATGAATAGACTCTACACATACCCAATAACAGAAAAAGGAAAACAAACAGAGAAAAACACTATTAAAAGCATACTACATAACAATGGATACGACACAAACATAATCAAAAGATCGAATCAGACAAAACGAAAGCAAAAATCAAACACAAATGATGACAAACAAGAACAAAAAACAAAGTGGGCCATATTCACATATAGTACAAAAGAAAAATTACAAAACCGTTTAAAGACACGCAGATAAAAATAGCATTCCACACATGAAACACAATAGAAAACATACTCAAACAAAAACCACAATTGGACAAATACATTAAAAGTGGCATATACCAAATGAAATGTGTAGATTGCCCATTGAAATACATTGGGCAAACGGGCCGAACATTTAACGCTAGATATAAAGAACATATACATGATATTAGAAATAATAATAGCAATTCCGGGTACTCAAATCACATACAAAATACAGGACATGCATACGGAACAATAACAGACGTAATGGAAGTAATAACAACAGGAAAGAAGGGTAGACATTTGAATACATTAGAGAAATACTATATATATAAAATAAGTAAGAAGGGCCTACACATGAATGACACACACATAGAAACATATGATACCATATTTCAAACGATACACGAAATCTATACAGACTAATGGTACCTCCCTCTCCCCACTACCCGTTCTCCCACCAACACTCACCAACATAAAACACAGCACACAATACACCAGACAGCACACGTATTAAAGATAAGCAGCGACACACACAGAGAGAGCCTACACAGAGTAAGTACAAATAACAGTATAAACATATAAGAATAACATAACATAACATAAGATAGTAATACGAATATTTGTATATTACAGA